AGAGAGGGAGAGAGAGAGAGGGAGAACCAACAGCACCAAGAGTTTTCCCGATGTGATCATTTCTCAACCCGCCTTCGCGTTCAAAAAAGACAGTGCGACTAAGAGGTCATGAACCTCATATTCTAGCCTGAATATTTAGAGACGAAACCTAAAGAGTGATGTGGAGTGTCTTGTAAATGGAAGGCTCCGTTTGGCTGAGCCGAGGTGCGCGAGCACGTGCAAGAGGCGACGATCTTCAAGTTCATGTCAGCTGCGGAGGCGCATGGGTATATAGTGTAGCTTTCCGGATTCGAGTTGTTTAGTAAAGTTTAGGACATATTAAGGTTGGCACTTCTGCGAGGCAACATGTGGCCAACCTGTATCCTAAATTAGGCCCTGAGTTGTGGGCTCCTTGTTTGTGTGCAGACCCTGCCTTAGCAGTAGCCGTTATTGGACGGTGCGTGGACCTCGATGGATCGCAGGGCCCAAAAAGTCATCGAGTCGTCAGCATCGATCACCTTGTCGGGGGCAGCGCCAGCATAGTCGCAGAAGCGGCCCTTGTATTGCTCCGTAAGCAATCCTTGTCTGTGACATACCTAAAGCCTGTACTAAACCTTAACCTAAACCCTACAGCCCTTAACCCTAAACCCTAAACCCCTAAACCCTAAACCCAAAGCCCCTAAGCCCTAAACCCCATTAACCCTAAACCCGCTTGCTACCACGCACTGTGTTAGCCAGGGATGCCTCCAGTTAAGTCTCTTTCCCCGCCAGCGAGAAAGGGCCCAACATTGCCTCAACCTGAACCGTCTCCCCTAAAGAGATCTTGCAGAACCTTCAGAGAAGCTTTCGAGAACCCCAACAGCCACATATAATAGGGGCCGAACTAAACCATTTTGGAGTTCCTTATTATAGTAGAATACGCCCCCCAAACCCCACTCTAATTCTTAGGGCCCCTACATAAAGAACACCCTCCTATGTGCAGGCCAAGTATCCCTCGGAGAACCCCTTCCACAACTATTCGCACGGCTTGGACGTGGCGACCTCAGCAGGGTGTTTAGGGTTTCAGGTTAGACCCCTAGACCCCTGGACCCCAAACCACCCCAAACCCTAAATGTGCAATGGTCCGAAGCTTAAAAGAAACAGGACGTGTTTCTACTACACAAGCCAGAATAATTGCAAACCCTTCCTCCTTACTGTTCCCTATCATAGTCGTTTACACACCTCATGACTGAAGCCCTAAACTACGGTTTGTACATGGATCTGGGGTTTAGTTTCGGGATTTAGCGTTTGCGGTTGGGATTCAAGGTTCAGGGTTTCGGAGAGCACGTGCTTTGGGCTTCATGGTTTTCCGTGAGGGCTTCATCTGGTTTCTACGTGAGCTATCGGGGGTTAGCACGGGTTTTACATGACTTCTGCGAGCTTTAGGGTCGGGTGTCGTAGGGTTTTAGCGGGCCCAGTGGCTCTACTGCGAGGTCCTTTTGATTGGTGTCTAGTTAGTATGCTCTACACCCCTTTCGACAATCCCAATGTCTCATCAGAGTAACCCGACTTACCTATCCACAAAGCATCCAAGTATGAGTTCAAGATTATGGCGATATCAAGAAGTGCGGGTTATGCTCGCGTGATGGGTGCGTTCGAGAAGATGAGTTCCTGTGCAGCCGAGAATCGAAGTACACCATTCATGCTTAAGAAGGTTTTATCTGTTTTCGGTGTTATGTAGGGTTTTGTAGGGGCTTTCTAAGGGGGTTCCATACCGACGAAGCTTTGCATAGTATAGTGCTTAGTTTAGAGCTATGGCTTTACGAATGAGTCTTCAAGTTCAGGCGGCCGTTTTGAATGCTTTCGCTTGCTATCCCGCTGCCTCAATCTAACCACAAAGTACCCGACAGAGCCCTCGCATTGTAAGGTACTGTAGGGGCCTTAAGACTAATGGATTCGGGTTTTTGGTGTATACTATACTATTATCATAACACGGACCCCCCCCCCAAAAAAAAAAAAAA